TTCAAATGCTAGTCAGGGCTGGATTTCCCCATGGCTCTGGAGTCCAGTGTCTCTCTGCAGAGGCTGCTGTGGTGAGTCAGTCCTCCTGCGGGAAGTCGGGCCAGGATCAGATCAGCAGGTCTAGGGTCACTTGCATTATGGGAATGGTCCCAGCAGCAGCTACATTCATAGGGCTCACCATGAATCAATTATGACTCTGAGCACTGTCCATATGATGATCTTCTAGTGCAAACCCCAACCCAAGTGTCACAGGTAGCCAAAAAGTTCCTGAACCCCAAAAGGGTCCAAACTTTCCTTTCAAAGGCCATAAGCTCTGCAAAACCCAGAGTCAGTGAAACAGTTGGGGACCTGAATGTTTGTCTCCGGCAAGTCACAGGATGCAGGAGGCAGAGCCCTGGGCCAGGAGACTAGGTCCCCAAGCTGATTGATTCCAATGTGGCCTTGACGATTGCTTCTTCTCTGCCCTCCACAGAAAATGTATCCAGAAAGCAGGTTTTTCTGCAGACTTTGCATGACTAGTTTTCTAGGGAAAAAGATAATTTGCTATAAAAGCAGGAATTTGCAATGCCTAGAGGGACACAGGACATTGAGAGCTGGCAGTACCACCCTTGCCTCGCTCAGCTTGGATGTTTTGTTCTGATAGGGGAGGAGTTCTGAGTTAAGCCTCAGCCTCAAGGTTCTTATTGGACCTTCTGGGGTCCCAAACACATGAAAGAAAATCAGGGTCTGTACAGTAGCCACTGGGAGCCTCAGGTAGGTGTGTAGCCTGGAGTCGGGAGAAAGGAAGGCACTTGTGTTATAGAGAACACCACAGCATAGAGGGTTTCCACCAATTCTCATGAAAGAGAAGGATGGTGTCCAGAATAAAAACCTCTTGGGAGAGTCCAAACAATTTGAATGCAATTCTATCCCTGCCTACTGCATTGGAAGTGAGCTTTAAAAGTCAATTTCTTTCTCCTGAGTTCAGAGTTCCCACCTCCCTGAGCCTATCAAGGCATGATCCAACCCCTCCTCCTCCTCACCCCTTCTGACATCCCTGAAGACCGCTTTGAGCAGCAGCTGTCTTCTGTCTTCCTAGGTCTGCCTCAGAATCCCTGCAGGGAGGGTCATAAGGGTCTAACTTAAATACAAGGAGCCCCATCAAGTGATGTCCCATCTCTAAGAAGGGGATACAGGTGGCAAAACTTTTTACAGGGAGGAAATAAGTTTGATGTAAAAGAATTTTTCGGTGGAAAAAAAAGATGGAAGAGTTTTTCAGTGTTGAAGATACTTGTGCTTTAGAGGAGGTTACCACATTGGTAGCATCAAAGAGATGCTGCTAAGTTGGGAACAGACCCACTGGTAGGACAGGCTGGTTGTTGCTGGGTGACAAAAGAGATACCAGGAAGAAGGAGTTCTCATGATAAGCCAAGATGAACCCATCTTCATATCAGCTTATCTTTTTAAATTCATTTCCAGGTAATTCTAGTTTTAGAGGTAAAAGCTAAATATTGACTCACAGGATGACATCATTTTCTCACCGGCATTTTTTCCAAAGGTGATTCAAAAGAGTTGCAGCTACAAAACATCTTTCCCAAGCCTATTTCACTTGGTACCATTGGGTGTTGTTGAGGATTACTCAGGGCCAGATTTGGTTAGCCTGTCTGTGAGTGGTCTCTGACAGCTGTAAGGCAGAGAGCAATTGTGTCTGTAGAGATGAGATCTCCCAGGCAGGAATGGCACGTGGGTTTTGTCTACAGCCCCTACTTGTCGCAGGATGTAGGGCAAGATTTCTGGGACCAGGCCCAGGAGGAGATAGGATCCATGTGAGGTTTCATGATGGGCTCTAAAGTAGTGTCAAAATTGGAATTGATACCTGAAACTCAAAGGTGGAATGTCTTCTCTCATAGTAGAGGCTAGAATAAAATAAAGGAAAGGGGGAGGGAAGGGTAAGATTACAGAAAGAACCAAACAAATACAAATTAACAAATGAATGAAAGGAAGCCTAGTAGAGGAAGAAGAAGGGGAGGGAGGTTGGGAGGGAGAAAAGGGAGGAAAAGGTGGGATCCTGAACTGAAACTGATTTCCATGCATGTCTGAGTTTGTCAGGAAGAACCCAACTACTATGTGTAACCATTAAGAGCTAATTAAAAAAAAAATGGAATTGAACTTCTTTCCAAACATGGACTGTGTGGTCCAGCTTTAGACCAAAGACTGAGGACACAGCAGATACCATATTCCATGGGGCCCAGGTGCCCTATTATGGTATTTCTGATACCAGGCCACCAAGGAGGTTAGGGAGGGGAGATGGGGTCCCACAGGCTGTTTGTGAGAAGAGGGGATTTGTGTACAGCTGTAATGCAATGCCTGTCCACATCCCCACCACCCATGTGCCCCAGGCTCCAGTTGCTACAGCTTTTGATCTTCCCATTCAGCTCTTCCCCCTAATCATTCATGGTGGGATGCTATCCCAAGAAGAACCAGTCCAGAATAATTCATGCTCTAAACTTAACCAAGGTTCTCCTAGCAGGGTCTCGGGGTGAGAATCAGGCTTTGCCCAGGTCACTCTTAGAGGTTGTGAATCCTCCCCTGGTGCTTAATTTCCAGACTCCGGTAGCTGTTCCAGCTCTGCTTTTGTTGAACCTACTACCTAGAAAGTGTGGCCTCTGCTCTCCCCCAACCCTCTGCCTTCCTACTGGTTTCAGACCTATTGATGCAATCAATGCTTATGAGGCTTTTTCTTCAAAGCATCTTTGGACTGATCTAGGTCTTTCTGGTGAGGGGTTTCCCAGTCAGGACTTCACAAAGTCCAGGATGGTGACCCCAGCTCATCACGTAAGAGCAATACTTCACGTTGTAGATCTGGGCCATGTGGCTGGCCTGGGAAGCAGATCATCCCCGTTTCCCGTATGAGGGTGGTGAAACAGCAATAAATGGGTCCAGGATGCTGGGCTTGGCATGTTCCATGTCATCATGTTGAGCAGTGAAAGCTCCCCGATGGGGTCTGGGGTGGGCAGTGTGGGGCTAGGGTCTTCTCAGAAGACCAGCTCTGTTCCTGGGGGCTTTCAAACCCTGCCTGCCTGTGTTTGAGTCTATCTCATTGTGAGTGAATTAATTGTTGTGCAACCTGGAGTGGTGAGACAAGTTAATTACATAATTACTGCAAAATGACATGTTATTTCATGGCTGCAATATGGTAACTCTGTTGGAAACAATTGTAATTGCCCAGAAACTGCATTCGAGTGTCTCCGTTATCTCTCCATAACCATGTAATTAACTTGTGTTACAACTTTATCTGCAGCAAACTCTTAAGTTAAAAGTTAGGGTCTTGGGGTGGGCATGGTCATCCTAGACCTACGGGTCCAGGAAGGGTCTGGCACTTGGCGCTTTACTATAATCCAGGGAAATAATTTGTTCTTCCACATAGAGCAAGAAAATACCTCATTATGGACTCCAGTCCTCCATGTCTCTATGCACTCAAACTCATTCAAAAATTTACATTGCATATGATAATTATCATTGTATATGATAATTTCCTAGTCCCACAGCCACATCAAACCCACATCACACAAAAACACCCACTGTGGCCAGACTGACTGGCTCTTTGCCTCTCTTCTCTTGCATATACATGGGTGCAGCTCCTTTATAGAAGGCAGATGCCCCCAAAGTTAAGAACTTTTACCCAAGATCCCTGGCCCTAGCCATCCCTTCCCATGGACTGGGCCTCAAAAACGATTACTTTCCAAGCACCTGTGAGAGCCAAGCTATCCTCCCACTTCAAAGTGGAAGAGCAGGCCTGGGGGCGGGGTGCTTCGAGGGTGTAGCCCAGCCCAACCAGTTTCCTGCCCAGGAACAGGCAGAGCTTCAGGCCATAGTCAGGCTTTATCAACCCTTAGCTTCCGGCAGGGGTCAGGCTGAAAATAGCCCCTGGGAAAAAAGAAAGCAAGCTGCCTGATGGTGGGTGGGGAGCCCATTCTTACAGTTTTCCTTGTCCAGGCACTAGAATATCTCTTTTTAATACTTCTTAGTGATATGATAGCTTCTCAGGGCTAAGCTCTGTGCTTGGCCCTGTGGTGGTGTCCCTGCTGCTCAAGGTGAGCCTGGCTCAGCCAGGAAGGTGGAAAACACCCTGGTGTCTGCCTTTTTGCTGCAGGTCTGGCCGTCTTCTGGCCTGGGCTGAGTGCCTGCTGGCTTGCCTGTCTTCCTGCCTTGCCGACACCTGTGTGTCTGTCTGACCGTGTGTCCATTGGCTCGTCTGTCTCTGACTCTCTGGCGTCATTGCAAGTGGTGGTGTCTGCTGGAAAGAACTGGCCTGTCCCGGCTCTTCCTACGGTGTTCTGTCCTCACCATGATGTGCTTTGTTTTCCTGGCTTTCTCCATCTCTGGCTTTGCTTTCTAGTCCCACAGCAAGCTCCTCAGAGGGCAGGGGCTGTGTCCCATCTATGATTCAGCCTGTGTCTGATTTGCTCTGCCAGCCCACTCAGCATAGGGTTGAGACAAAGTAGATTAAGGTTTGCTGACTGACTGACTGTCTCCAGCCAGCATGCGCCAAGTTGGAAGGAAACAGAATTGGTCTCACTCACTGAGGAGCAGAAAGTAAGACAGGTCCAAGACAACAAACACCGTCTGTCATCCTGAAAGGGAAGAGGGGTTGTAGGAAGGTTCTTCCATGATAGGAGGCTCAGGATTTAAGGTCCTACTGTGGAGCAAATCAGAGCTAGGCCTCCATCTGTGCAGTCTTTCTGGGGTCTCAGTGGGGGTCTCAGGAACACAGGATCATCTTGCCCTTCTTCTTAGAGGCTTGCTTAGAGCCAGGGTATATATGTTCTCAGCAAAGGGGAATACCCTAATTCTTGCCTGTGGCTGGGGATGGGGGACTCTGAGTTGTTCCTTCCAGTTTCTTCCACCTAAGGCCAACCCCCCTGCTTGGCAATAGCACATGCTGGCCGTCCACTCCATACTCTACCCAGGGGGAGGAGACTCCAGGTTTGTGTCAGTCATGTGAACAACGCAGAGTAACATCCCCGGAAACATTCATAAGTTTAATCCACGCCAGTAATAAAATCGCATTACATTTCTCATAAAATAAATGTTCCCATTTATATACAGAAGACAGACTGTACAGGCCCAGCCCCAGCCCCAGAAGGGGTCACACACAGACAGGCGGCAGCAGTGGAGGAAGTGCCGCCCTCCCATTGAGGATGGAGAAGTTCTATGTCGGCAGGACAGTGGCTGGCCAGCCCTTGCTGGCAGAGTGGCTTGCCGGCCAGCCTGCCAGGCGGATGGCAGACAGACAGATGGGCCTGGAGGCCAGGCGCCGGGCGTTACTGAACCTGGGATTCAAAGGTGCCATTGAGCTGCCCCTCCTCATAGTCCATCTGACACAAGATCATGTTGTTCTTCAGGAAGAATTTGTCTCCCACGCAAAATCTAGAAAATCCAAGCGAAAGAGAGAGAAGCCATGGGAGGGATCCTAGTGAGTGACAGGACCCAGCCTGGCCCAGAAGGCAGGATGTGTGGGAGGTGGGGTCCTGGGATATGTTTGCTCCTTGAACTTTCTATAGGGGAAAAGTCCCACAGAAGGCCTAGTTAATTACCCTTAGCCAGGATCTGCAGTGTGAGATGCAGGACAGACAGACAAGTCAAAGAGGGGCCACAGGTCTCCTACCGTCAGGTCTCCCATGTGTGGGGGCATAGGGAGTGGAGAGGTACAGAAGTAACTTATCCCAAGAAAGGGAGAGAAAGAGAGCGCAAAGAAAGAAAAAGAGGAGAGGTGGTGAGAGATGGAGATAGAAAAGGGAGGTACAGATAAAATAGTTGGTTTTTCTCTCTCTCTGTTTCCCCTCCCCTACTTAGGAGGATGACTTAGTCGAGGGCATGTTTCCTCAAATACAATCTATAGGCTGCCTGGAAAATCCTTCTAGGATATCCTATTCTATCATTTCTTCTCCTACCCAAGGGAGGCTATGCTATGAATCTCTAATCCTTTACAAATATTGGGGGATCCCAGCCTTTCACTCAAAGATGTCCCCAGGGTGGCTGAGGTCTTCATTGAGCCCCAGGGTCACTGGCCCAGTCCCAGCAGATCCCAGTCAAACCACCAGGTGGCGATATAACCTCACCAACTCCTCCTAGTGGTGGGTCTGGCCAGAGCCTCCAGCCAGACCAGAGTTCCCTGAAGGTCCCTATGGACCTCACCCTCTGGGAATACTTGTGAATTCCTACCGGACCTGGGGGCTCCTGAGAAGAGGGTCTGCTTTCTGGTACTAGGCCCCTGTCAGGGGTGAAGGGCTCTGGCTCCTTAAGTACCCAGGGCTTCCCAAGGGATGGGGCACTGAGTAGGGCCCAAAAAAATCTCAAAAGCAGCGGGGCTGGAATCAGATTCACAAGAGTGGGATCAGGAATGAGTGGCTAGTCCCTGCAGATCTAGACTGTACATAAACTCACATGCATGTATTTACACATAAGGATACTGTGTACACATACCCCTATATATAAACATTTGAAACACATTCACAGGCATACTCATCTATGTACACACAGTACACACACACCCCTTGCACATGGACATTTAAAAACACACACATGTACACATATGTACATATGAATGTTAATTCATACATATATACCCACTGTACATAGACATAGACATGCATACTATGCATATACAGTAAACTCATGCATACCTTATCATGATATTCATTCAGAAATGTGCCATATGTGCACACCCAGTATTGGGGTATGCACATTTCACGTCAAAGCTTAGGCATACATAAAACTCACGCACATATGTGTTCATGACAACATGCATACTCAGCCACACAACATGTGCACAACCCACATTTGCATGCCCACCTCCACAGCACTCCTGGCCCACCCAGCATGTCTCAGGCTGGGGTCTGGGGAGTATGTTGGGTCAGCTACAGGTCCAGCACTCACCTCTGGTTGCAGAGCTGGCAAGCGAAGCAGTCCAGGTGATACACATTGTCCCGGGCTCGCATCACCATTTCGAAGGCTGGGATCAACTTGCTGCAAGCAGCACAGTTTCCTGTTGTGCCAAACAGCCTGCCAGAGAAAGAGCACAGAGGACTCAGAAGCTTGCCCAGGAGCTGGGGGATAGGGAAACTGCCTCTATCAGAGCCACTCCCAGCCTGCGGGACACAGCTTGCCTGGGAAAGGGGTAAATGAACTAATGTCATCATCTAGATCTTGCCAAAAAATTGGCACCCTACTCCTAGCGAGACTGTGGAGGGGGACAGGGATTGGCTGATACTGCCCCCCCAAACCCCTCCCAGTTCCCACTAGGGTCCATCAAGCACCTTGAGCCAGCAGGAGACCATTAGAATGGGCTCTGGGAAAAGGCTCCAGACTCACACAAGCCTGAGTTTAAGAGGCAGTCTGCCCATCAAGGGTTGTATGTCCTTAGGCAAGTCACTGAATCCTCCTGAGCTTTTCTGAGCCTTGTTTACCACAACTGTCAAACAAAGACCAAAATACACTCCTCACAGGGTTGTTGTAAACTCTTAGTCACAACTCATTTGGCAAACACCTGACGGGGTTTCCATGGGTCAGGTACCACTCTAAGAGCTCACAAAGATGACCTCATTTGATCCTGACAGTAGCCCTGCAAGGTGGATATTTGTATTAACCTCCATTTTCAAGATAAGAAAAATGAGCCAGTGGCACATGCTTATAATCTCAGCAGATGGGGAGGCTGAGGCAGTTGGATCACAAGTTCAAAGCCAGCCTCAGCAACTTAGTGAGGCCCCAAGCAACCTTGTCTCGAAATAAAAAATAAAAAGGGCTGGGTATATGGCTCAGTGGTTAAGTGCCCCTGGGTTTAATTCCTGGAACCAAAAAAAAAAAAAAAAGAAGAAGAAGAAGAAAAAAAGGAAGAAAGAAAAAAGAAAGGGGAAAAAAGGAAGAAGAAGAAGAAGAATGAATCCTAGGGAAGTAAACAACTTGCCAAGGTCACATGGCCTGGATCTAGGGGGAGGGAGGTTCTCTATACCACTATATGATGCAGCCTTCCCACCTTTAAAATTATAGGGCTTGATTAAATCCTTTTCCTGCAGTGGATTGTGTTACTTGCCCAAGTCTCCCTTTCCTTCTCTGAACCTCAGTTTATACTTCTGTAAAACCGGAATGCTGGACCAGATGATTCTTTCTAAAGATGCATCTAGATCAGAACTGATGCCCAGAAGATGTTCCAAGGGCATGTAGCACAATGGCCCCCTTGAGGTTGGCACCTCTCCTCAACTGCTGGCTGTAGAGCTCTAGGGAGAGAAACTTCACTTCCTTCCCAGGCAGGCCAATCCATGGCTGGATGATCCAATGGTCTGCGCCAACCAAGCTCCTCCTTGCTTCTCTTCTGCATAGAGGCAGGACAAGCCCCAAGTGAGGCAAGGGGGCTGAAAGGCAGGCAGGAGGCCCCAATAATCCCTGATTTGTCCAGCTCAAGCTCTGGCACCTACAGACGAGCTTGGTTCCATTATTCATCAGCCTGAGCTGCCTGGTGGCTCAGATAAAGGCAGACAAAGGCTGTGTCACAGCATTTGCCTGCCAACAGGGGCCTTCCTGCTACCAACCCAAGGAGTGGTTGCTGAAGAGGGGCAGGCTCAGGACAGCCATACCTTTGGCTGAGCAGCTCAAGAAAGTCACACCCCTACCCTGGCCCACTGGTCTACTGGCCCCCAAAGTCATTCTGTGTCATTCCAGAGTGCAGGAAAAAGATCTTTCAGCCCCTGGGAGCTGTCAGTGCCAAGAATGACACAGGCTCTTTGGTTCTCCTGACAAGCACGTCAAACTCGTTGGTCCTCCCTCTAAAAGTCCTTTGGATGGTCTTCCACCTCTCCCTGGCATGGTAGGTTCAGCTGCCCAGGTGGATACCCTAAACCTCCAGACTTGAAGGCCCTTTCTAGGTCCCCAAGGGGTGATTCCCAGGAGCATCCTTTACCCCTCCTCCTGGCCTCAGCCTCTTCACTCCAGCCCCAGCCAAGAGCACTAAGCCACAGATCCTGTTTCATTGCATCATCTTTTTAAACTCCTGCAAAAGGCAGGAGTTAGAAGAAAAAGTACAGACAGGTAAATCTCAGCCTCTTCAGGGAAGTAGGGGAGCTTCCACTGATAACCCCACCCTGTTCCAACTTGCCCTGATTTTAGTATAGGAGCCCCACAGCCCTTGTCCCAACCTGTTAATTAATGCGATGGGCCTTCCTTCCCTACAAGGCCCGGCCACCATCCAGCAGTCTGTGACAGAGCCAAATGCAGGTGCTGGGTCTCAGCCAAGGCCCCTGCTTTGTGGCCTCCTTCCAGCCTTGCTGATGTCATAAATGGCCTGAGGAAGAGTTAATTGGGGGACACAGCCCCAGGGGATGAGATCCAGGTTGTGGGGAGGGGGTATTAGAGCTCTGAGGAATGCAAGGCAAGGAAGCAGGATTCTTTTCACCATTTCACAGGGAAATAAACTGACCTCCCTACCCCAGAAAGCTAGAAGCCAAAGGTTCAGAGCTGGTTCAAACCCAGGTCTTTAAGCTCCAGCATTAGCTTGTCCTAGGGTATGCAAGGCTACCTGCCAGGCTCCAAGGCAGATGGGATACCTAATCCCAAGCACCACCTGGAAAGGGAGGGAGTTGGGCACTGGGAGAGAGATGGGCAGGAGACTCCATCAGAAAGGAAGGCCCAGGCAAGCCTGAGCTTCCCCACCTGCTCCTCAAAACCCCTCTGAGGTGTCCCCTCCCAGATTCCAAGAAGGGGTGTGTCAGAAACACCTGGCAAGGGCTGGAGCCAGGCTGGTGTCCTTGGGAAGTTGCTACAAAAGCCTGCCTGGACCAAGCTGGCCCCAAGTCCAAGGAGTTAAAGATATGGGCCAACCCTCAGGTGGCTCCTGGGGCAGCAGGGCAGGGGTGAGGCAGTGAAGAATGGGCTGTGCACAGGGGTGCTGTGGCTAGAGCTGTGGCAGAGTCATGCTGGACCTGGAAAGATGGGGGTGCTCTCCAAGCAGTTCAGGGCTGGGGAGGCTCTGCGAAGGGGCCCACCTCAGATAGTCACGACGGCACAGGATGAGATTGGCCTTGGTGTAGAGGGTGGAGCCCACCTCGCCCAGGCGGCAGTCACAGCAGGCACACTTGAGGCAGTCTTCGTGCCAGTACTTGTCCAGTGCCTTCAGAAGGTAGCGGTCCTTGATTTTGCGGTTACAGCCTGCACAGCCCTTCTGTTTCCCTTTGGGCTGGACGGAGAGCATTGGCACGCCTGTGGAAGAACAGAAAAACAGATGGACACAGGACTGGCTTGTGGCTCTGGGCCTCAGGGCACATTCTTCTTCTGGGAATGGGGAATTTGCAGCTTCTTTCTGCTGCTTCTGCTAGGTTTGGGGCTCCCAGGAGCCCTCACTTTCTACTTTCTCTGTAGTAACTTTCTCTCCTGGCTCTGGATCCTGCCCTAGGAGCAGCATGGCCTGGCCTGCTTCCTGGCCCTGTGAAGAGGCTGCAAGCAGCAACAGCGAGCCCCGAGTCTGCTCTGCTCCAGGGCACACACAGCCTCCTTTCTGGCCTTAATGAGCCACTCCTCCTCTTCCTGGCCACTGCCCCTGTGCAGTGTGATCTGGAGAGGCTGAAAGCCCTCTGCACGCAGCCACCATCTCATGGACTTCCAGCCACAGGCCTAGGAATAGAGTCCATTAGAATTCCCAGATCTTTCTTGCCAACTTGTGTGTTCCTCACTGTGCAATGGACAATGTGAATTGACCATTCCAATCTAGTCAGGCTAAACCTCTTGGTCTACAAGTGCAGAACTGTGGGAATATCAGGAAGAAATTGAGTGTGATTAAAATACTCCCCAAAGAGCTCATGTGTCAGGCAATGTAGCAATGTTCAGAGGTGAAAAGACTGGATTGTGAGAGCTGTAACCTCATCAGTGGATCAATCCACTTGATGGATTAATAATTTGAATAGGTAGTAACTATAGGCAGGTAGGGCATGGTTGGAGTAAGTAGGTCACTGGAAGCATGACCTTGGAGACTATATCTTGTTCCTAGTTCCTCTCTTTTACTCTCTGCTTCCTAGCTGCCATGAGCTGAGCACTTTCCTTCACCAGACCCTTGCACCATGATGTTCTGCCTCATCTTGGGCCCAGAGTAATAGAGTTGGCCAACCACGGACTGAACCTCTAAAACTGTGAGTTCAAAATAAACTTCCTCCGCTGAGTTGCTCTTTTCAGGTATTTTGATCACAGCAATGACAAAAAGCTGACTAACCCAGTGAGAGACTCCTGGGACACTCCCAAGAGGGAACAGGAGCTTCTGGAGTCCTAGTGCCTGCAGAGAGGTGGGACCCTCTGGGGGTCTCCTCAGGACGCTTCAGCCAGAGTCAAATATCTACTTGCCCTCACCTGAGAGGGATGTTTGGAGCCTTGGGGCCTTGAAGGCTGGGAGGGAAATGTGGGGGTTCTCAGGAACCTGGCCTGAGACTTTGCGAGTGAGGTGCCTGGGAGAACTGCCTACAATCCACCCCTCCTGAAAGCAGGGGTGGGGTGGAGGCAGGTGTCTTCCCTGACAAAGGCACAGCTGGATGGAGGAGTTGAAGGAGCCTCCCCTGCCTGCCTCCCCACCTTTCCAACAAGGCCTGAAGTCTCCAAAGGACCACTGCTCTCTCCAGGGCAAGAGTTCAGCTCCTGTCCCCTGGTTATCACTCCCATTCCTGGCCTTGCACCTGCCCCCACCTGGGGGTGCTAGGCCAATTTCCCTTTTCTTTCCCCCTTCAGGTATGGCTTTCCTCAGGCTTCAGGGGACAGTCAGTCATCAAGGGGTCTCAGTCTCAGAATCTACAGATGTCAGTCAGAAGGCCCTCAGTTCTTCCAGTCATAGGCTCTTATTCTACAGATGGAGAAACTGAGGCCCAGATGGCTAGAGGGGGCCAGGGTAAGCCAACCATCAAGTTGGTCCTGCAACTCTTTCCCTCTCTTATGCTCTTTTTCAGCCCAGCTATATCCTCAGACTTCTGTAGCAGAAGGGGTAGGCCCTTGGGCCAGAGCAGCCTTCTCTGCAGGGAGGGAGCCAGGCCTGCTGCAGGAACAGCGGGCAGGTGAGGGCAGGGAGGAGGCACCACAGGCTTCTCTCTCCTCCCTTCTCTAATGCCCCCAGGGCCAGTCTGTTAGCTGGGAAGTTTTGCTGCTTAATTTCCTTAATGCAGCTCTAAAGGTTAATTGGTCTGAGAGAGTGATGGGGCTCAGGATGATGCTGTCCTCAGGCTTGCCTATATCTCCTCTGGTAGGGTCCAGACTGTCCCTGTCACAGAGCTCTTAAGGATCCCATAGAGCAAGTCCCCTAAGAGCTGAGGGTCCTATGAGGCTCCGGGGCCTTGCCTATAGGGATAAATAAGGTATAGGAAAATAAGGGAGAAGTTAAAAATGGCTGGATTTAGGGAAGGCCTAGGGTTCAAAGAGTGGGACTTTTGTCCCTGAGACCTGTCGAGGGAGTACCCAGCCAGCACAGCTCTGCATGTAAATACTAACTCTAATCTCTATCTTGAGCACCTGTAAGGCTGATGTCCTCCTTGTTCACCTGGGCTTGCAGCAGGCCTGGCTCCTCCCTGCATCAGAGCCCCTGCCAGGGTTCTTGATTTGTGTGATTATTGGCAGGTGGGTGTCTTTATCTCCTCAGGGGATACTCCAGCCCACTAAAGTATACCCCCAAATTAAGGGGACCAGTGGAGACCCCCAGCACTAGAAGAATCTGTCCTACTCCTTCTTCTATCTGGGCAGATTGGCCTTCCAAGTTCAGGCTCCAGCATGCCTGGCTGCAGAGCCAGCAGGCTCAGCTGTCATCCTAACACTCTGGGGTGTGACACCTAGAAGAGCATGTGGAATTCCTGAGCAGCAATCCATAAGCTGTTCTTGGTTCCTTCTCTCTCTGCTTGTGCCTAGGCAGGCCTGCCACATGCAAGTTATCTAGAAAGTGTGGGCACCCCTCCTGTGGTGTGCGGAACTCTGGTTCCCTACGCACTGCAGAACTCTAATAGAAGCTGTGTGGCTTCTGCCAAAGCGTCCCATGTGCCCCATGGCATGAAACCCCAAGGCCAGAGCAACGAGGGACCCTTGAGATTTATCTGCTTGGAAAGGCCAAGGTCCTGGTCACAGAAGAAGCTGGTCACAGAGTGTGCCTTTGGATGGACCTGGACTGGACTCCATATCTGCAGCTTCTGGTCAGGTGGTCCAAAGCTGGTGTCTGGTCTTCCTGGGCCTCAGTTCCCTTTCCTTCCCAGGAAGGAAAACTGAAACAATCCTTTGTTTCCCACTGAGGATGGAAGAGCTCTGGGAGTCACACAAGACAAGGGAATCTTTCTTTGGTCCTTAGGGAGCACCGCATGTGGCTTGCTCCACTGGGCTAGTCCAGGAGACTCAAAAATGTCCCCAGGAAGGTGAACAACTTTAAGCCAGGGAGCATCTTCAGTCTCTGACTCCCCAAATGGAGGGGAATGCTACCCAGAGGGTCCAGGCTCTCACTCCATGTCCTGCCTCCCAGCCCCCCACCCAGCAGGCCAGCCTGCCCCTTGCAGACCCTTCTTCCCTCCCTCCCTCCCTGCCTGGCTCTGGAAGCTAAGCCTCAGGCCATGCACTTTCCATTAAGGAGATAGCATCCCTTTGCTGAAGTCCATTTGGGATCCATTTTAGTGTTATCTAAAAATCAAATCTACATGGTAATCCTTTTAATGTACTCCTGACTTCAGAAAAAAACAGCTTTGCGCTCCTTCAGGAAAGGTTTTAAAGCATTACCCAGTAATTACTACTCACCCATGAAAACACTGATATTTTTACAATGGATGATGTTTGTGCCGACACACACGCCTGGGCACACGCTCAGGCGCTCACAGGGCGTTCAGCAAAATAACCAGTTCACTGGGCCTGTGTGTCACCCCTAAATTTTAGGGTATGGGGGAACAACATTTAAGGGGAAACAAGTCAAACTCCAACCCCTACCTCTATCGGGGTGGGGTGGTGGCAGGGCAGCTGGAGAGAGGCAGCCGGGCTACAGGGACAGCCTCCTGGTCTGACTCATCGGCTGCCAGACACTTACCCTCAGTGGGTAATCTGGGACAAAGCCAGACAGCCTGGGTGATGGGCAGGGACTGCCAGAGGTCATTCTGCCTCACCTGCATTCTTGCTCCAGTTAGGAGAGAAGCTCTTTTTACACTGACCTCCAGAGTTTCCTGCCAGGGCAGACTCCAGGCCTTGGCGATGCCTATCCACCTAGCACAGCCCAGGCTGCCCCGCAAGCCCAGCATATGGACTTTTTCAGAGGCCAAGCCTGTGGGCTCCCAAGCCCAGTGGTACCTCCAGCTCGGCCAGTGGCATTAGTTGCTGTTACTTACTCCCACTGTCCACCAGTGAGCTCCTTCCTCCAAGGCCAGTCTTCCACCAGTGTGTCTATTCCTCCCAGCTCCAGGTCATTCCAGGCCATGCTCTGTGCTTCCCCTGCTAGGGACCACTGTGGCCAGCACTGGGGACTCTACTGGGCATCTGGGAACCCTCCCACATGCCAGTGCGTCCTGCTTGGCACTGCTGGACCGACTCCTGGCAAAATCCTGGAACGCTGTCCTTTCCATCCCACAAGTGGCTCTTGTTTGCTCCTGTTCCAGGTCTGCACTCGCCACTGCTCCAGGAAGAAATGCCTCTGTCCTGTCTACGACCTCCCTTCCCCAAAGGTCAGAGTCAATGAGGGCCCAGGCTAAAAGCTCAGACCTGAAAGAACAGTGGCCCTGGAGCAGACCCCATCACCTTTCTGGGGAATGGGGCCATACAGTCTCTTTCCACACAGACTGTAGAGAGGCAGGAAGGAGTCACCACCCTGTGACCACAGCACAGAGGTTGGCACCAGCTCCACCCAGGGGATGCCATCCCTGCTTGGCTTTTTATTACTGTTTTTTTTTTTTAAAAAAAATGTATTTTTTAATTTTAGGTGAATACAATAATTTTATATTAATTTAGTGCTGAGGATCAAACCCAGTGCCTCATGCATGCTAGGCAAGCGCTCTACCACTGAGCCACAACCCCAGCCCCCTGCTTTTTTTTTTTTTTTTTATCTTGACATAATTTCAAACTTTTTGAGAACAGTAGAAAGAATTCTGTGTCCTCTTCACCCAGATTCCCTAAATGTAACCTTTCATCACAGTTGCTTTATCTTCCTCTTTCTTTCTACCTATCTATAATTTCCTCCCAAATCATTTGAGAGGCTCTCTACCAGAATACTTTGGTAT